CATGGTCACGCTTAGACCTTGACATTATTAATGACCTTTTACAGTCGTAGTTTTCGTTTTTGTTTTGCATTACTGGCAACTTATCCTGGGGCCTCATACATCTTAGGTAAGTACTCTATGACGGGGCAGCGCTTCACTAGGAATGAGGGTAAGGAAGCTGCACATGTATACTGGAGATTGTTGCTGCCCTGGATCTGAGGTCAGGAGGAAGGAAAGGATAAGGGATCAAATCAAAAATCAAAAAAATCAAAGTAGGACTTTTTATTATTTTTATTTATTTTATTCTCCAATAAATAGCATCTCTTTTCTTCATCCAGATTCTCAAAAAACTGAGAAAGAGCAGCGTCACTAGAAAAGGTGCTGTGGTTTGAAGATGTCCCCCCAAGTTCATGTGTAGGAAACTTAATCCCCAGTACGACAGTGTTGGGAGTGAGGCCTAAGGAGAGGTGAGGTCTGCGCACTCTGCCCTCGTGACTGAGCTCGTGCTATTATCACAGGAGAGGTTACTTAGCTCAAGCGTGGGCTGGTTGTAAAGGTGAGGCCAGCAGGCTCGCTGCCCTCTCTTGCTTTTGCCCTCTGCCTTCTGCTCTGGGATGATGGGGCAAGAAGGCCCTCCCCAGGTGCTAGCACCTTGACATTGGTCTTCCCAGCTCCCAGCACTATAAGAAATCTCTGTTCTGTGTCAACTACTTGGTCTCAGGCATTCTGTTATAGTTACACAAAAGAGATGACGATAGAGACCAGACACCAGAAGGGACCAGATCAGAAGCTAGGCTTCAGTCCCCACCCAAACCCAGGAGCCCCAACAGTAGCAGCAGCACTGGAGCTGCTTAAAAGGGGAACCGAAGATTGATAAAGCTTCTCAGGAGATCCACTGTGCAGCCAAGGCTGAGAACCACTGCAGCCAGATGTCCTGTCTACTTCAAGTACTCTGGTGATCTTCCATTCATTCAGAGTTGGAGGCAAAGCTCTTTGAGATCCCATCTCTCCAACCCCATCTCCAGCCACACTGGCCTCCTCCCTATACCTCAGTCCCCCTCCCTGGGCTTGTCCTTGAGGTCTTCCTGCTTGCTGTTCCTCCTGCTTAGAAAGGTTTCTAGAGAGAGAAAGGAGAAATGCTAGGAAATGGTAATGACCGGATCACATTGTTGTACCATGTGTGCAGATAAACTCAACGACGAATCCCCCCATTATGTATGACCACAATGAACCAGTAACAAAGGTAGGGGCAAAAGAGAGAGAAAGTCTTTCCTTGCAAATGGCACGTGGCTTGCTCCCCGCCTTACTTCAGGTCTCAGTTCACATATTTCTCTATTAAGAGGCCTTTGGCAAATGTTCTACCTAAAGGAACACACACACACCCTCACCCCTCACTCTCTTACTCTGCTTTGTTCTTCTTCTGTGCATTGAATGAACATTGACTCTCACCCCCAGTAGCAGGCAACACACCCCGTAAAGGCAGAGGTTTGTTCCTAGACGTATTTCCAGTGCCCAAAACTGTTCTTGACACCCAGGAGGAGCCGTGACCACGGGGATGGATGAACGAATGGATGAACCTCTCCTGCGAAGAAGTCAACTCAGCCACGCGGTCTTCCTCCTGGTCTGTGAAACTCAACAAGTTCTCATCAGCTGCCAATGTCTTGCCTGGGCACAGAATCAAGAGCCACCACACACCTTGTAAATTCAAACAGCAATTCTTTATTCCCGAACTCACACCGGCCCTGTACAATCACGTTCTGGGGAAATCCAAGTTCTGCCGCCGCACAATTCACATCCCAAACACTTTCTCAATTCCAGGAGAACTCAACAGGAACTCAGGCAGCAGGAACGCCCTATTCCCAGCAGGAATAACCTTCAACCTGGAACTTCCCTAAACCCAGATTGTCTTAAACCCGGAACGCCTTAAAGCCAAATTATCCTAAACCGGGATACTTCCTAAAACCTGCAGGATACACCTTAAACCTGGATCCACCCTCGTCCTTGAGCAGGGTCACCTTTCCAAGGCAAGTCCATTTAACATGGGGTACGCTGGCAAGAAAATTTCCATGCGTCATTCCTACTTGGCAATGGCCCTCAGCAATCAGCCAAGATAAATCCAGCCGAAAACACCAGGCGTGACAGTGAACTTTCTAAAGGAAAAAAAACGACTGGTTAGGAAACCCTGTCTCCATTCTATTTCCTCCACTTTTGCAGGCCAAGTAGCTGAGCTAGCCTGGAGTGCTCCTGGGAGGAGGCGGCCTGCCCAAGGCTCTGACAGGCTCAGTGGGCAGTGAGCAGTGAGGGCAGCCCTGCAGAGCTCCATCTATGCTAAGGGGGACACCAGGAGTCCCAGCCCACAGTCCACAGCAAAATCAACAAAGGGAGAGAGGAGATCAAGGAGGGGATCCACAACCGGCCACCCTGTGTCTCTCGCACCATAAGAGAAGTTCTAAGTTTACAGTGAAGTTGAGAGAAAGGTACAGAGATTCTTTGATCCCCTGGCGCACCCCCTCCCATGCACACATATCTTCCCCTGTTATCCACATTCCTCCCTCAGAGTGGTACATCTGTCACAACTCATCTAATACTGCCATATCATTATCACCGAAAGTCAATAATCTAACCGAGTGTTCACTCTTGATAGTGTGTGTTCTGTGAGTCCGAACAAATGTATAATGAGATATTCCCACCATTACTCTTTCACTGCCCTAAAAATAATCCATTTATTTTTAAACAGATTTTCTTATAAGTAACATATTGGAGAAATTTAGGCAAGTTTTTAAAGTACAATGAAGTAATCATTGTACTTTAATAGTCACACTACCCATATATAAGAACTGGTCAAATTTTTATGAGTTCCTTCACAGTATTTTTATGGGCTTTTAAAATTTAATTTTTCCCATATTTTTACTGGTGTATTATAGTTGTGCATACTGATGGGATTTGTTGTTATATATTTGTACATGCATACAATATCACTATAATTCTTATGTGCTTTTTGACACTCACATAAACAATACTGATGGGCTCCCTTTAACTGGCCAAATTTCTGATCATTTCCATAGGACACCACTTCAAAGTCTGCACCCAAAGACATTGTGTAGCACAATGCCAAGTTGCTGTCCAAAGAGGTTACATTTATTTACATTCCCTCCCGCAGAGCATGACAGTACCTACCTGACCTGGCCTCACCTGATCTGGCCTCTCACCCCACCTCACCTCATCTTACCAGTGCTGACCAAAAATCACCAAGAAAACATTTTACTCTGACTACCTTAAATGTCCTAGAGGTGATTTAAAAAAAAAAAAGAAAAGAAAATCAGAAAATCAAGGGATAAAATTTGAGACTGAGAGGCCCTCTTAGCCTAAAATTGTGCTTCTCAAAACCTGCCTTGGTGTTTTATAACCACTGCTAACCTCCTTCCAAATCTCTTAACAGATGTGTGGACAATCAAACCTCACCCCAAGGGCTTCCCTTCTCTTCTTCCCTAAAGCCAAATGAAGCTAGCTCCCCTCTGTATTGTGACTTCCCTGTGTTGGCCCCTTGGGAATCTTTGGAACTAACAGCCCATTACCCTGCCCTGGCATTTTTCTCCCAGCCCTCGATCTGGCCTCGCCCATTCATGAGTTGTAGCACTGCTGTCTGTCTCTTAGAGATTAGGAGGGAATGTGAGAGCAGCCTTAACTGGAGTTTTTGCGTGGTGTTGGTGGTGAGGACCGCAGGGATTCTGCAGTGACAGCCAGTACTGACTGTTCCATTCACTGTGCCCAGCAAATGGACACAAGGGTTACTCCTTTTAACCCTCATGGCTACCCTAGGGGAGTGGATGCTACTACTATACTCACTTTAAAGATAAAGGAGATTTCGGGAAAAGGGCATGATTTAGGTCACTTATCCTGTGTCTGAACCACACCTAGTGTTCACCTGACTCTGAAGATGGTGTTCTTAAACCTTCCCCTGGGTTTTCAATATGTCCATGCTAAAGCAGGCCCAATGGTTTTACTCTTCCAGACATACCCTTTCCTTTAATTAAATGATGATGATGATGATATCTTGAAACCACATCCCATTTTCAGGAAATCTACACCCCTCCCAAAGATTCCTCAAGATCTTGGAGATTCTGGATGCTGGCAGTATGACATTGACAGCCGCGACTTTGCAACCCGTAAGCAAACACCCCAAACACCTCTAACACTACTTATCTCCCACTTACAAACAGCTTCGCTCTTCCCTCTCCTCTGATGACTCTGCTACTTGGTAAAGGTGGCTTTGCTGAAGGCTTCAAAGGATCAGGAGGAGGTTAATTTGGGGGGGGGCTCCCAACAGGCTCTCAGACATCATTTGCTGTGAAGTCTCCAGATAAGACAACAGTGCCTTGTATCCCAGAGCAGATGCTCAACACTCCTGGTCTCACTATGCAAGAGTGCATCTCAGCATGGAGGGCAATGCTGGTTATTTACAGCTGGCTTCTGTTCTGATTGGTTAGACGGCCTGCCGGTGTCTTTTCTAATGGGTCAGTTTTTGCTGGTATCTGTTCTATTTACTAGCAACTTCTGCAGTCATTTAATATTTACTCCTGTGTAAAATTTAGCACAAGTTTCCCTAGGACATAAAACCATCAGCAGCTGGTATCAACTGGACAGGGAAGTTTCCAAAAGTAAACACTATCTAATTTTTTGCAAAGTCATGAATTAACAGTCTTTCCCTTTGTCCCTTATTTCCAAGACAAATGCAGAAATGATCATATATTGATGATAATAACAAAGCTAAATTCTCTTTAAGAGACTGGACAAAAGCAAAAGCTCATATGTGAGTCTCATGAACTTGAAGACAACCCCATGAACTCACTAGAATGCAGAACTGGGTCTCATCATTTCTTGGATACGTTTCCTCTCAAACCTTTTCCTCAACAATGAAATTGTAAAATAACCATGTGATTAGAAGAAGGTTTGCCCACCAATGAGCTTTCTGTTGTTTCCTCCTTATTGTGAGTTGAATGACAGAGCAGAGGCAGAGGCATACAGTCAATTCTCAAGTCAAAAAGGTCAAAGCTTCCACAGCATGGCAACAGCTTTGCAGATGCCCACGTCACGATAGTTGAAATGACAAAGCCCAGCAAAGGTTAAAGCTGAGAGTGCCAAAAGGCCTGCCTTGGCAGCTTTCTGCGATGCATCCCCATGAACATAGTCAGTGACAACTTGTCCAAGGCCCCAGGGACTATGAAGAGTGAGGACTGCAGCCAAGGAGTAGTCCATTGCAGCGCAAGGATCCAAATATGCCGCTGGAAGCAGGCCCAGGAGCAAAACATTGACAACCCTCTCACTAGTCCAGTGAAGAGATGCAGCCTTGGAACCAGAATGGCGGTTTGGTGACAGGTGAATGTGCTGTGTGCCAGTCCATCCTGGGGTAGGTCGGCCTTGGAGAAATGCTGAGATGTGAGCAGGTCTGACCAATGGGGTTCAGAGGAACAGAGCTCAGCCTCCTTGAGCACCACAGAGGAGATCCAGCCTCAAGAGAACCGCCATCTTGCTTTTGAGGGCTCAAAGTCTCAACCCTTCTCGTCAATGTGTATAGCAGCTCAATTCACGACAGCCAAGCTATGGCACCAACCTCGGTGCCCTTCAACAGAGCAACGGATAAAGGAAATACGCTACATGTACACAATGGAATATTACTCAGAGACAAAGAAGAATGAAATTATGGCATTTGCAGGTAAATGGATGGAACTGGAGAATAGCATGCTAAGTGAAATAAGCCAGTCCCCCAAAAATCAAAAGTCAAATGTTCTCTCTGATATGTGGATGCTGACTCATAACAGGGAGGGTGAGGAGGGAAAGAATAGAAGCCCAAGGGATTAGATAACGAGGAATGAAGGGAAAGAAGGAGGGCAGAGAATAGGAAAGACAGTACAATGAATCAGACAAAACTTTCCTATGTTCATATATCAATATAGGGCCAATGAAATGCTACACCACGTACAACCACAAGAATGGGAAATTATACTCCATGTATGTATAAGAGGTCAAAAATACACTCTGCTGTCATGTATATCTGAATATACAATAGCTGGGCGTGGTGGTGCACGCCTGTAATCCCAGCATTTCAGGAGGCTGAGGCAGGAGGATTTCGAGTTCAAAGCCAGCTAAGACAACTTAGCGAGGCCCTAAACAACTCAGTGAGACCCTGTCTCTAAATAAAATACAAAAAAGGGATAGGGATGTGGCTCATTGCTTAAGTGCCCCTGGGTTCAATACCAGGATGGGAGGAAGAAAGGAAGGAAGGAGAGAACCAATAAATTTTTTTGTGTGTGTGTGTTTTGGTTTCCTTTCTTTTTTTTTTTTTTTCCAGAATTTGCAAAATAGGACCTTGGACTAGGAAAGGCTAATTTGGTGATTGGCATCTAGAAGCAAGTCAGCTTAGAAAATGCACAATATCTTGCTGCTGAGACAGACCATCAGCCACAAAACTCAAATCTGGTAGAACTGGACCCTGGACAGCACCATAACAAATAAAAATAAGGGCTGGAATTGTGGCTCAGAGGTATAGCACTTGCCTAAGCATGTGGGAGGCACTGGGTTTGATCCTCAGCACCACATAAAATAAATAGATTGTGTTCACCTATGACTTAAAAAAAATTAAAAAATTAAAATAAGAATTAAAAAAATTCCTAAACCTGCATGACTGTTTGCTGACGATTTCACCAGGGCAAAATCCATTTGTCATTATTGCTATAAAAACTCTTAAAAACAGACACTCTTTACTGAAAAACATCTTATTTCTGCCTGCCCCAGTCATTGAGTTTCATATAAATGAACTTCAGAGGGGTCTCTGGAAATAAATTCAAAATTGCTGCTTTGAAACCAAGCTGAACTGGGAACAGTGGCAAACACCTGTCATCCCAGCAAACGGGGAATCAAGACAGGAGGATCACAAATTTAAGGCCAACCAAAATTCATGAGGCCCTAAGCAACTTAGTGAGACCCTGTTTCAAAATGAAAAATAAGAAAGGGCCAGAGATGGATCTCAGTGGTAGAAGCACCGCTGGGCTTAAGCCCAGCACCAAAAACTTTTAAAAAAATAAACAATAACCTCCTAAGTTTATCTCAGAGAAAGACCTCAGAGTAGATTTAACCACATAAAAATATATTTTTCTTGAAAAATAATTTAAAGGCTATTGACAAAATATATGTCACAATACATGGCATATAGATTTCCCCCCTGTCTAACTCATACTAGGTACTAATATTTGGAGGAGAGACACTATTGAAGCCAGATTTAAAATTTGGTAGTCAGTGTAGTTAGGTAAATCGGGTCTAATATCGAGTGAAATCTAAAATGGAGGCCATGCTGACAATGAATTCCGGAAACGCAGGACAACTCATGGAATGTTAATGAAGTCCCAGAAAAGCCCTAGGCCCAAAGTCCATCCCAAAGAAATGTTAATGAAGTCCAGGAAACAGCCCCCAACAGATTTGGAGATAGCCCATCCCAAAGAAATGTCAATGAACAGATTACTTCTTTGGCCCACCTATGTCCCAACCCTTCCCACCTACATTCCATCACCAAAACTATAAAAAAGGGAAACAACCGCACTTCCACGGATTCCACCTCTTGGGTCCCCTTCTTCCTTTTCTGCTGTCCTTTAATAAACTTCTAATTTCTACTCTGACCTTGCCTCGGTGTGCTTCTCTGGTGTTATTCTTCCACACTGGGAAAGCAAGGACTCGTCACAGGCCAACAGCGGTAACACTATCAACACAGAGACAGCATTCTATTTAGACTCTTAATTTTAAAACCTGACTATTAAGGTTTAGACATGAGGGGTCCCTGAAAACCTCACGTGTGAAGACAATGCAAGAAAGTTTAGAGGCGAAAGGATTGGGTTGTGGGAGCCTGATCAGTGCATTAATCCACTTGAATGGATTAATCAATTTAATTGGCAATTCAGATGCAGCTGGAGGAGGTAAGTCACGAGGGGCGTCTTTGACTTATTTGGTCCCGGGTCAGCAGAGGTCTTTGTGCCTCCTGATTTTCAGGTCCTTCCTCTTCTGCCATGATGTTCTGCTGGATCTCGGCCCCAGAGCAATGGAACCGGCTGTCTATGGACGGAGACCTCAGAAACTGTGAGCACCAAATAAACTTTTCCTCCTCTCCATGGCTCTGGTCTGGTCTTTTGGTCCCAGCAGCAAAAAAAGTTGACTAAAGCAAATGTCCAAAGGACATGAATGGACAAAACAGAGGAGTAAATACAAGTGACTCAGCACTTTTGGTAAAAGTATCTGAACTGTTGATAATCAAATACATTTAAATTAAAAAAAAAATTCTCTGCCTTCAAATTTTGTTTTAATTCATGCAAGAAATAAATATGGAGCAGGGGCTTTGTGCAAGACACTCTTCAGACCCTGAAGCTTTATAGCAGTGGAAAAAAAGATGCACATCCCCCATCTTGGAAATCTCATTTTGACAATAGAACACTAAATATGTAAAATATATAGTATGTTTTAGATGGGCCATGAGAGCTAAAAAGAGAAATAAAGCCAAAGCCAGCAAGCGCTGGGCGTTGTGTGTGGGCACTGCTTACCCAGGGGCCCTTTACCATTGAGCCACATCCCCACCCTTTTCTATTTTTTGAGAAAAGGTCTCAGTGAGTTGCTGAAGCTGGTCTTGAACTAGTTATCCTCCTGCCTCAGCCTCCTGCATCTCTGAGAATACAGACATTTGCCACACACGTGGCTGTGGGCAGTGGTCTTTTAGATGGATGGGCAGGGACGTGAGCAAGAAGGGAAGCTGGTAGAGGCCAGGGCCAGTGTCTGGGGAAGGAGCGTCTCAGCAGAACTGCCAGCAAGGGCAAAGGACCCAGATGTTGTGTTGGAGGGAAAGCAAAGCACTGAGCAACTGGAACAGAACTAATGAGGCCGAGAAGGGCAGGAGACAAGGTTGCAGAAAAGGGTAGGGCTGGACTGCAGAGGGCTCTGCAGGTCCACTTCAGCCCTAATAGGAACCGAATGGGAAATCAGGTGGAGATGGGAGAGGATGGGTCTAATGTCTCCATTTGCTAGGGCTGCCACAACCAAATGCCATGAGCCGGAACAAGGCACAAACAACAGAAATTTACTCCTTAGCGTTCTAAAGACCAAGGTCAAGTTGTTGGATTGAGGCTTTCTTTGCCTCCTAGCTGCGTCTTCACATGGTCCTTCCTCTGTGCACATGAATCCCTGGTGTCTTTTCATTTCTTATTTTTTGTCCTTTCTTTTCTTTTCTTTTTTCACCTTTTATTTTCTCTTCTCTTCCAGTGCTGGGGAGCAAACCCAAGGCCTTGTGTGGGCTAGGAGAGTGCTCCACCACAGAGCTCCATCCCAGCCCTCTTCCTCTTTTTGTGAGGACACAAGTCCCATCAGAGTAAAACCCCCGCTGTTATTACCTCATTTGACTTTCAAGGCCCTATATGGTGACATTCTGAGATACTTTGAGTTAGGGCTTTACCATACATGGTTGGGGACATCTGACTAACGATAGATTCTGGGTTGGCAAGGGTAGCTGTGGAGAAGCCAGCAACCCTGTGAAGGCATCCCTCAGCAAGAACTGCAGGAGGCCTCAGGCCAATAACTAGCCGGGAACTCAGGTCCCCAGGTCCAAGAGTCAGGACAGTGAGCCTGGAAGGGGATCCTCTCTAGGTTTTCTATGAGACAATGGCCTATTGTGACCACAACCTCATGAGAGGTCTTAAATTCATCAAGGCGAACCATGTCCAGATTCCTAACCTACAGACATTCTAAGAAAATAAATACTAGATGAAACAAGATGCTAAGTTTTAGGGTAATTCACAGCTCAGCAATAGATAACTAATACACCCCAGCACTTAAAATAGTGTCCTATAGATGCTGGTTGAATAAATGAATAAATAACAAATACATACGCAGAGAAGAAAAGAAAGGAAATACTCAAAATCACTGATAGTGATCATCTCTGGCAAGATCTGTAAGTTCATGACTGATTATTTTGAAGCGTTCGTCACTCCCATACACTGTCCCAACTTTTTATAACATAGAGGCACAAAATTGCTTAGAAGAATAGCTTGACAAAATATTATAAAATCAAAACCTATGAAACCACCATCCAGGGTAAGGAATAGAGATTTGCCTGCACCCTGGAATTCTGCCTTCTTAAAAACTATTTTACTGTATATTCCGCCCCTCAGTTCCATGTAATACCTTTTTATTAATAGTTCTATTTTCACATTTTTGTTATTGTAAAATATACATAGCATTAATTTACCACTTGACCGTTTTCCAGTGAACAATTCTGTAGCATTAAGTATATTGTTGCACAACCGTCACTCACCACTGCCTGCTCCAGAACATTTTTTCTTTTTCCCAAACTGAAAGTCTGTGCTCATTAAACAATAATTTCTCATTTCCCCTTCCCCCCAGACTCTGGCAAAACCACTCCCTGTGTCTGTGAAAGCTGACTCCTCTGGGTAGTCAAATAAATGAAATCATACAATATTCATGCTTTCTTATGAGTG